GGTGTGAGGTCCTGTGTGTGTAGCCGGTGAGTGTGGGTGTGAGGTCCTGTGTGTGTAGCCGGTGAGTGTGGGTGTGAGGTCCTGTGTGTGAGGTCCTGTGTGTGTAGCCGGTGAGTGAGGGTGCGAGGTTCTGTGTGTGTAGCCGGTGAGTGTGGGTGTGAGGTCCTGTGTGTGTAGCCGGTGAGTGTGGGTGTGAGGTCCTGTGTGTGCAGCCAGTGTAGGTGAAGGGTCCTGTGTGTGAACTCGCAGGAGGGGAGTCACAGCCTCAGGAGACGCCGTCTGGATGCAGGCAGGCTGTGCTGCGCCGGGAACCTGGGGGGCCTGAGGGGTCCTGTGTGGCATCGGTGTGTCTCCGCTCCTTTGTGAACTCAAGGGCGGCTTCGTCTCCGCCCGCCTTTGCTTTCTCTGTTTCCTCATTATTTCCTGGGGGTTTTCAGCCACCAGTGAAACTTTGGTTTTGAACCTGTAGGATTTGCCCCAGCCTCCTGGGGGATGCCCCTCTGTGGAGGCGAGGTCCCCTGTCTGCAATCACGTTCTTTCCCGTATTTTATTACCCGTTTATAAGAGTGAGCACCGTTAGAACCAGCTGACAGGGTTTGGAGTCGTGTTTCTCAGGATATTCCGGAGGCGCTCCTGCTCCATTCATCTCAGGACTTGGAGTATTTTCTCCAGCGGCTCATGGTAGACCAGCTGGATTCACAGGCAGTCGGAACTGCGAGAATGCATGTGCTGGTGGCCGTGGTCTGTGCACAGCATTTCCCGAGTGCTGGGTGACGCGGCCCCTGCGCCTCGAGGGTTACACTGCATCGGGAGATCGGGCAGCCCCAGGGAGGCCGGGCCTGGACGACCTTCTGGCTGACCTGGCTCCAAGGCCAGGTCTCCTCCTAGATGTTTAGGGATCACTTGGGTCTCGGGACGCGTGAGTCTCTGGCGTGATGTGGCAGCATCTCCTCCGTGGCCCGTTGCTAACAGCCTTTGCACCAAGCACGAGAGGAGAGTCATTTGCACCAGGAGCGTGTAACTGGGGCACTGTTGCGTTCTGGGTGGACGGCCCCGTGCCGTGGGCACTATTGGTGTTTTGGGTGGATGGCCCTGTACCGTGGGGAGCTATTGGTGTTTTGGGTGCACAGCTCTGTGCCGTGGGGAGCTGTTGGTGTTTGAGTGGACGGCCCTGTGCCGTGGGGAGCTGTTGGTGTTTGGGGTGGACGGCCCTGTGCCGTGGGAAACTGTTGGTGTTTGGGTGGACGGCCCTGTGCCGTGGGGAGCTGTTGGTGTTTGGGGTGGACGGCCCTGTGCCGTGGGGAACTGTTGGTGTTTGGGTGGACGGCCCTGTGCCGTGGGGACTGTTGGTGTTTGGGTGGACGGCCCTGTGCCGTGGGGAACTGTTGGTGTTTGGGTGGACGGCCCTGTGCCGTGGGAAACTGTTGGTGTTTTGGGTGGATGGCCCTGTGCCGTGGGAAACTGTTGGTGTTTGGGTGGACGGCCCTGTGCCGTGGGGAGCTGTTGGTGTTTGGGGTGGACGGCCCTGTGCCGTGGGGAACTGTTGGTGTTTGGGTGGACGGCCCTGTGCCGTGGGGAACTGTTGGTGTTTTGGGTGCACGGCCCTGTGCCGTGGGAAACTGTTGGTGTTTGGGTGGACGGCCCTGTGCCGTGGGGACCTGTTGGTGTTTGGGTGGACGGCCCTGTGCCGTGGGAAACTGTTGGTGTTTTGGGTGGACGGTCCTGTGCTGTGGGGAGCTGTTGGTGTTTTGGGTGGACGGTCCTGTGCTGTGGGGAGCTGTTGGTGTTTTGGGTGGACGGCCCTGTGCCGTGGGGAGCTGTTGGTGTTTGGGTGGATGGCCCTGTGCCGTGGGGAGCTGTTGGTATTTTGGGTGCACGGCCCTGTGCCGTGGGGAGCTGTTGGTGTTTTGGGTGGACGGTCCTGTGCCATGGGGAGCTGTTGGTGTTTTGGGTGGACGGTCCTGTGCTGTGGGAAGCTGTTGGTGTTTTGGGTGGACGGCCCTGTGCCGTGGGGAACTGTTGGTGTTTGGGTGGACGGCCCTGTGCTGTGGGGAACTGTTGGTGTTTGGGTGGACGGCCCTGTGCCGTGGGGAGCTGTTGGTGTTTTGGGTGCACGGCCCTGTGCTGTGGGGAGCTGTTGGTGTTTTGGGTGGATGGTCCTGTGCTGTGGGGAGCTGTTGGTGTTTTGGGTGGGGTCCTGTGCTGTGGGGAGCTGTTGGTGTTTTGGGTGGACGGTCCTGTGCTGTGGGGAGCTGTTGGTGTTTTGGGTGGACGGTCCTGTGCCATGGGGAGCTGTTGGTGTTTTGGGTGGACGGCCCTGTGCCGTGGGGAGCTGTTGGTGTTTTAGGTGGACGGCCCTGTGCCGTGGGGCACCGTGGGCAGCGGGACACTGAACAGCAAGCACCCTGCACTCTGCCCACCAGATGCCAGTGGCACCACCCTTAGTGACAACCAAACGTGCCCTGTGGAAGTGCCCTGGGAGAGACCCCGTTTCAGCCGTTGTCAGGGCCAGGCCCGCAGTAAGCACAGTGGGCGCCTCTAGGACCCCTCCCGCCACCCCGTCACCACAGACTCATTCTCCCTGTGGTCGAAGTTTAAATCACATTGAATGTGTTTATTATTTGGGAGGGGTTAACGTCTGGTTGCCCGCCCTCCGCAGAACCTCCCGTTCCCTCTGAAGAGCCGTGGAGGCTGGAGGGAGCTGGAGGGCTCTCGAGGAGACTGGACGAGGGGCGGACACCCTGGACGGCAGGGCCGGGCCTCCCTGGGCCGGTGGTGTCACCCGGGGAGTTTTGGAATCAGCCCGCAGAGCCCTGTCTCCTCCTTCCACCGCCCACAGAAGCCCACTGGTGTCTCCTCCTTCCACCGCCCACAGAAGCCCACTGGTGTCTCCTCCTTCCAGCACGCCCCACAGAAGCCCACTGGTGTCTCCTCCTTCCACCGCCCACAGAAGCCCACTGGTGTCTCCTCCTTCCACCGCCCACAGAAGCCCACTGGTGCCAGGGGCTCCTCCCGGCCAGGGGGATCGGGGGCTGCCTTGCTTGAGGATGGCAGCCTGGGCTTCTGTCATTCATAACCCACAGGAGTCCTCTTGAGGGAGGGGCATGGTGCCCTGGAGAGCCCTGGAGTTGAGGTTTCAGAGCCGACGCGGGGTGCTGTGTTGGCTGTCTGCGTCCGTCTGCCGGCTGTGAACACACCGCATGTTTTAGAGACACCGTCCATGGGAAAAGTGCTCGTGAGAACTGTTACTTATTTGGCTATTAGGATGAAACCAGTTTACTTTTCTTTTAATTCATTTATTCATCCATGTATGCAACAAATAATTCGGCACTTACTGTATACCACAGACAGCTTTGTCTTTTTATATGAACGTCTCTGTGTATCAGAAAAAAAGAGAAAACACATTTCCTCTAAGAGACAGAACAGGCACCTTTGGTGAAGGTAACTGAGCGAGCTGTGTGGGGTGCGGTGGAGAAGAAACGGCCGCTTGGGAGCTGGGGCAGCCCCATCCCACTCAGCTGTGGGGCCGCAGGGAGAGGCTCGGTCTTGCTGCACGTGGCGCACACGGGAGGCCCCGGGCGACGTGGCCAGGCCGTGCCGTGGCAGCTCCAGCCCTCCTGGTCTGAGCAGCTCATTGGGTGTTGGTGCGTCCAGCAGGCTCCCGGGTGTTGCTGTCGTCGTAGCAACCGGATGTTTCTCAGGATTTTTTTTTTTCTGTTTCAATGCTTTATTAACAGTTGGAAACAAAACCAACGCACTGGAGGTGATGGCATCAGAAGCCTGAGGCAGGGAAATGGGTTTGCATTTTGTCCCCCCTCTTTTTCTTTTTATTAAATGCATCATAGCAAAAGTAGATTAAAAAGAAAGGGTCTCAGCCCCAGATGACAGCGAGCAGGGAGAAGGAGGTAAAGACGGGGCCATCGGGCGAGGAGGGAGGAACCTGCTGTGTTTTGGGGCCGGGGGACTGGGCATCGTCGGGCGGGGAGGGAGGAACCCGGTGCGTTGGTGCCAGCGCGGGAGGACCCGGCCTTTTCACGTCGTGTGGCGTCTGTCTTACAGGGAGTCTGGGGAAAGCCTGTGCGTTTCCGTCCTGCAGCGTCCACCTTCAGAAGACCCAGCTGCTACCGCCGTGATCTGAGGCCCTGTGGGAACAAATCTTAGCTCCGTGTTGTCCACAGACACCGTCTCCCACAGGACTTTCAAAAGCTTTTTTCTTTCTCCTTTTAAGAAACACGGGAACTTACAGCTAAATATCTACACTCATTTGTTGCAAAAAACAAAGAAATCCCAGAAAACAACACAAAACCAAAAAATTCCCAAAAACAAAACCAAAAAAAACCCAAAACAATCCCAAGGGAAATATGGTCGGCGTCCGTTCACACCGTCGAGGTGTCGGGAGGAAAGTCGGCAAAGTCGCGCTGCGTTGAGGGCGAGGACTTCTCTCTGCTGCAGAAGCTGTCGGTTCCAAAACAACCGGGAGACTGGAGGGGCCCCGTCCGACACGCGGGCTGTGCCGAGGCTGCCCTCAAAATCAGGCAGCCGCGGCGACCAGGACGGCTGCGTCTGCTCCGGGAACCTCACCTGCCATCCCCCAGGCTCCCTTCCCTTTCTGGAGAAGCTCGCCAGCCATGCTCTCCCCTTGGTGCCTGTGAACTCGTCACACACCCTAACTGTGTGTGCTGCCTGCGTGTGCTGTGTGTGTGTGTGTGCTGTGTGTGCTGTGTGTGCTGCCTGCGTGTGCTGTGTGCGTGTGCTGTGCGTGTGTGCGTGTGCTGCCTGCGTGTGCTGTGTGTGTGTGCTGTGTGTGTGTGGGTGCTGCCTGCGTGTACTGCCTGTGTGTGCTGCCTGCGGGACCTTCACATCGGTGGGAGCCTTCAGAAAGCCTGTCTTTTGACATTTGATGACCGACTGAGGCCTGGCCTGGAGCCGGGTGCCTCGTGGCAGCCTGGCTGTGTTCTCCGTGCAGCGGGTGAAGGTGCGTCCCGGGAGGGTCGCCGTGTTGAGCTGTTCTGAGGGTCCAGTGCCCATCAGGAAGTATTCATTTGTTTTTTCCCACCAACCGATTATCTTTGACGCTTCCTTAATGATTCCCCAAATAAAAATTTCCAGAACCTTTTGAATTAGAGCATCTCGGAGCCAGACGAGCCTTCGAGAGCTGCCGTGTCGCTTGCTTTTGCAGTTCAGGAGTTTCAGGCCCACAGAGGCAGACCGTGTGTCGGGGGCGCTGGTGGGAAATGGCCACACGCAGTGAGGCCCTGAGAGCCGCTCCGTGTGGGCAGCAGCGGGTGCCGCTGGGAACGCCTGCCGGCACCTCGACCCCGAGATACACGCAGTGTGGACACGGGAGCCTTCGTCCAGACCCCGCGGCTTCTGCTCCTTCGCACAGTGCCCCAGGTTAATATGGTGGATGAAAAGTCTTTAAAAAGCTTCAAACTGAGTTTATCTCTGCCCTCTGGAGTTTCTGGCCTGCCAGTTTGCAAATCGGCATCTTCGAAATGAGCCGACCGCCCACGTGGGCGAGGACGTGTGTGCTTGCTGAGTTGACGCGAAGCTTTGGAAGGGGTAGAAGTGGGGATCTGAGAAACTTCGACTCTGCTCCTGTTTTTGATTTTGTTTCAACAAGAATAAGGTGATGTGGCCCCGAGTGGCGCCAGCAGGAGCTACGTGAGCCTTGGTGTGGTCTCAGCGTGGTGCCTGTGCCTGCATCTGTCCTCTCGTCCTGCGCCCTCGAGACACCATGGCCAGGCGTGTTTAGAGCCAAATGACGGAGGCGGAGAAGTCCCTGGGGAGGCGCGAGTGTGTTTGAGACGTTTGTTTTACAGAATGGACTTAAACTGGGCACCCGCCGTCTGGATCGACAGCTGCCACTCATCCCTCCCGGCTCCCTCCCGATTCTCTGGTAAACTGGGCCGTTAGGCTTGCCGCTGGGGTGTGCTCCGAGCTGCCAGCAGAGCAGTCACAGCTGGGGTTCAGTTATGACCTCCAGATCGACCCCGGCAAACAAGGAGTCCAGCACCACGGTCGTGAGTCCGGCGCCGCGGTCGTGAGTCCGGCACCGCGGGTGTTTTCTGCAGAGCCAGCCGGGAACCGGCTCGACTTCCTTCACGTGCATTCAGGTGGTGTCTCTGGGCTTGAGGGAGGGAGAGGTGGACCCAGCTTAGGCCCCTCTGGGACGCTTCTCTTAACTGGCAATTCAAACAGCTGGAGTTCACAGTCAAATCATGTCCACGAGAAGGAGCTCTTTCCTTTAATTCTGGCGCCAACTTTGACCTAATATCATAACATAAAATTCAAAATAAAAAGGGACTCAGTGGATAAATGAATAAGCAAGACGAGGTCCCTCTGCACGATGGAAAGTTATTCAACCTGAAAAAAGAAGGGAATCCAGTCAGCGGCCACAGCAGGGCCACCCTGGAGGGCACTGGCTGAGCGGAGTGAGCCGGAAGGACACGTCCCGTGGATTCCGCCGACGTGAGGCCCAGAGCAGTCAGATCCAGAGACAACGTGGGGCGAGGGCCGCTGGAGACAGCAGGAGGGGATGGGAGCGAGTGTTGAACGGGGCCCGAGTCTCCGTTTCGCACGATGAGAGCGTTCTGGAGAGGATGGCGGTGATGGTTGCACAACTCGGTGAACGTGGTTAATGCTACGGAACTGTGCACTCGAGCAGGTCTGAGATGGAAAATTGTATGTTAAAATAAAGGGACTAATGCGGGGAAAACAAAGTGAGACACAGGAATCCCGAGTCCCAGGCTGGCGGGTCCCTGCTCGCGCCACTTGCATTTCAGGGTGGCGTGTCCGTTGCCTTTCGGCGAGAGAATGTCCCGCGCGTGTACACGTGGTGTGCACATCCACGTTTTGACTTGCGGTGGCAAAAAACCCAAGCCTTTGTAGACAGTGGTGACTGCACACACGCGGCGGCCGGCATGCGGCTGTGAAGTAAACCTGCGGTTTGGAAGCGTGTCTGCGATGAGCAGGGGACCAGACGTTTCCACACTGCTGATGACGTGTGTCGCTTTTACTTTTTAGGTGAAGCCAAAAACCTTCCCTCTTACCCGGGGCCAAGCAAGATGAGGGATTGCTACTGCACGGTGAACCTGGACCAGGAGGAGGTTTTCAGGACCAAGATTGTGGAGAAGTCGCTCTGGTAAGGTCCTCTGCTGCTTTACCTGACACCGACGTGTTTTCTTTGGTGTAGAGAATGTCCCGAGCGTGGACGTCACCTTCCCATGTTCCCGCAGGTAGAGAATGTCCCGAGCGTGGACGTCACCTTCCCATTTTCCCGTGAATGTCCCGAGCGTGGACGTCACCTTCCCATTTTCCCGTGAATGTCCCGAGCGTGACGTCACCTTCCCATTTTCCCGCGGGTAGAGAATTTTTCTGTGTGTAGAGAATGTCCCGAGCGTGGACGTCACCTTCCCATTTTCCCGTGAATGTCCCGAGCGTGGACGTCACCTTCCCATTTTCCCGTGAATGTCCCGAGCGTGGACGTCACCTTCCCATTTTCCCGCGGGTAGAGAATTTTTCTGTGTGTAGACAATGTCCTGAGCGTGCACGTCACCTTCCCACTTTTCTTGCTGCTTAGTTTGAGGAGGAGGAGGTGCTCCCTGGGGCTCTGGTGTGCAGGCAGCTGGGCTTCTGACCTTGGCGGTGCGCAGATGTGAACCGGTGTTGGCTAAATGCTCCGCTGTCCAGGAAGCGCACGTTGGTGGCGGCCCCCACGTGGACTCACAGGGCTGTCCAGGAAGTATATGTCAGTGTCGGCCGCTGTGTGGACTCGTGGGAGTGCTTTTTAATTAGAGATAGATGAACTGGGAAGCTCGCACTCCATGAGAATACAAATTAAGGATTTCGAGAGGGGGAAATGCTGAGAAAGATTTTCCTTCCTGTGTACAGAAGATTGGTGTTAACTGAGGTACGAGGACTAGAAAGCGTTGATTGATACGATTTGAGGAAGAGAGGAGTCAGCCAAGAAAAACAAACTCTTGAAATCAACAAGTTTGCCCCTCAACTCGAGCATGTGCGGATGTGGGTGCCAACCCCGGGATGTCCAGGGCAGGGCCAGAACGTGTGTTTCTGAAAAGCTCCAGCGGGGCGCAGGCCGTGCTCGGAGGACCACTGCAGTTGAACACCAGGACACGGTGTGTGGTGGGACGCACAGGGACAGGAAGCCACGGCGGTTTATGTCGGGGGCGGGAAGAGAGACGCCAGGGAGAGTGTGCCAGGCAGGGCCTCGGTGCTGCGGCCTCAGGGGAAGCGTGGGGCGGCCGCGTTACAAGGAGCGGCCTGGGGATCAGGGAAGACGTCCGCGTAGCTGTGACTCCACCGTTCAGTTCAGAACCACGTGTGCTCTCATCAAAACAGCGCTTCTGATTTTGAGAACACGTTTAGCTGAAGAATCACATCCTTGCGTCTGGCTACTTCCAAGCGGGAATGAACCACCCGTTCTGACGACTGGGCGACTTCACCTATTAGAACACTGTGAGGGGTCTCCTGCCCCGGGGACTGGGACCATCTCACGCCTTCAGTCACAGTGCTTCCAAAAGGCTTCGGCGCAGCTGCCCTCCAGGCCGAGGTACGAGAGTCATTTGTGTTATGTTAGTGCACACTCCGGGTTCTTTGAAATAACTCGTCAAAAGGAACTGCAGGCTGAACGTTGTCAGGCGCCCAGTCCGGCTTTGCGAGAGTCTTGGGGGTTGCCCTGGCGATGACTGGGCATGGCCATTCTTCAGAAGAAAATGGGAAGAGACATGACCGGGCCCTTCAGAAGCCCCTTTGGCACTTCCCTGGATAAAAGTCGGTTCTGTGTTTAAATGGTCCGTTGTTAAGAGGCCCGTGGATTTTAGGCCCGCGGCCGGCTATTACTGGCAGTCTTTATCGGGCTTGGATCCTCTCAGACCTGCTCAATCAGAGCCAGTGGGAGGAGGACCTGTTTGGGAACCTCTTTCAGGTGAGGTTGAGAAATGGGGGCCCCTTGTCTTTCAGTTATTTCAGAAGAATTTAGAAATAGAAGTCATGGTTCTGGCCGGGTGTGGTGGTGCACACCTGTAATCCCGGCACTTTGGGAGGCTGAGGTGGGAGGATTGCTTGAGGCCAGGAGGTTGAGGCCACAGTGAACCACAATTGCATCACTGCACTCCAGCTTGGGCCACAGAGCAAGACTTTGTCTCAAAAAAACCCCAGACACACACACAACAAAACATGGTAGCAAAGAAAGAGAAACCCACGTGGGACAGTTCCGAGAGAGTAAAACTGTGGCGCCGTGTAGTGTGGACGCTGGCAGCCCTGTCCACGTGTAAAACCGTGGCGCCGTGTAGTGTGGACGCTGGTAGCCCTGTCCACTGGGGCTGTGTGGGCTGGCCACAGGCTTCCCCTGTAGTGTGAGGACAAAGTGTGCATCAACCCACCCCATATGAAAAGTTGGCAGGAAATGTACTTGAACCCAAAACCTGGCTCTCTCATAAGTTTGCAGCTGGAATCCACACGGCATCTGTGGTCAGAAGCCCTCAGTCTGTGCATGTGCATTAACGTGGTCCCGTGTTAGTCATTGGTCAGCATCCACCTGAGAGGCAAGTGTCAGGCAGGGTTGCCCTGCGTTCCAGGGAGTTTAGCCCTGGCCACCGCCCGCTCTTTGCTCCAGGGTGGCACCCGCTTTGGGGCCGGCCCCCCGAGTCTCCCAGCCCCTGAGTCTCCCAGGCCCCTGAGTCTCCTGCCCCCCGAGTCTCCCAGCCCTGAGTCTCCCAGCCCCCCAGTCTCCCAGCCCTGCGGGTCTCCCAGCCCCGAGTCTCCCAGCCCTGCGTCTCCTGGCCCCCAGTGTGCTGCTTCCTCCAAGGTCAGTGTCACCTTTAAGGTCTGATGGTTCATTTGGCAAAGTTGCTGTGGAAAGAAAAAGAGCCCACGTCTGCATCTCTGAGCTCCGAAGGGCCCCAGGGTGCTCTGTGGCCGCTGGGTCTGCAGCCTGGCAGGAGCCCCTTCTCACGGTCCCTGGGGAGAAGCACTTGGGTCAAGTTTGATTTGCTATTGCCCAATATCGGCATCTGTGGTCAGAAGCCCTCAGTCTGTGCATGTGCATTAACGTGGTCCCGTGTTAGTCATTGGTCAGCATCCACCTGAGAGGCAAGTGTCAGGCAGGGTTGCCCTGCGTTCCAGGGAGTTTAGCCCTGGCCACCGCCCGCTCTTTGCTCCAGGGTGGCACCCGCTTTGGGGCCGGCCCCCCGAGTCTCCCAGCCCCTGAGTCTCCCAGGCCCCTGAGTCTCCTGCCCCCCGAGTCTCCCAGCCCTGAGTCTCCCAGCCCCCCAGTCTCCCAGCCCTGCGGGTCTCCCAGCCCCGAGTCTCCCAGCCCTGCGTCTCCTGGCCCCCAGTGTGCTGCTTCCTCCAAGGTCAGTGTCACCTTTAAGGTCTGATGGTTCATTTGGCAAAGTTGCTGTGGAAAGAAAAAGAGCCCACGTCTGCATCTCTGAGCTCCGAAGGGCCCCAGGGTGCTCTGTGGCCGCTGGGTCTGCAGCCTGGCAGGAGCCCCTTCTCACGGTCCCTGGGGAGAAGCACTTGGGTCAAGTTTGATTTGCTATTGCCCAATATCGCAGTCTGACTCAGCAGGAAGCTGCAAATGGAATGTGTGAAGAAGGCAAGGCGGAACTCAGCCTCTCTTCTTCCCTCTTTCCCACTAAGGAGGTTACAGACCCAGCTCCACCGCGGGCCTGTGTCCCCCAAGCCACCTCCCTGCGTGTGGCCTCCGCGTCCGAGGCCCTGCAGTCTGTGGGGCCTCTAGCGGGTGCTGAGCCGACGTCTAGGGAGAGCGTCCTCCTCTGTCTTCCCCTTTTTCTCTAGTTTTCAAGGTGGAGGTTGAGGGCCAGCATCTGTCACAGGCGTAACTTCAGAACGCGTCGAAGTGGACACGTTTCGGAGGACAAGCCCTTTCTCTCTGGCCTTGGCAGTTTCTGTCCTACTACAAAAATGTTTTCCTGAAGTTGAGTGAGCTTTGTTCACAATCCATACCTTTCAGAGCATCATTTTTAATCATTTAAAGGGCAGCCACTATTTGTTTCCTTATTTACTTAAACGAAAAGCTCCCTGAAATTGGATTGGCAGGACTGGGGCTTGGGGACCAGCTTCCCACCCTGGACCTCCCCTGGGCCAGCACCCCCGACCCTCAAACAAGGAGATGACGCCACTCCCCAAGGCTGCCCCGCGGTGGAGATCGCCATCTCGTCCAGCAGAAAGGAGCAGTTGGCCAAGTCACACACAACAGAACCTCAGTCTCTCCCTGCTGGGTCAGTCTGTCATTTGTAAGAATATTCGGTGAGCGTCATGTCCCCGTTTCCTTCTGTCCACGTGAGGACGTGAAACGTTGTCTGTCCTGCCTGCGTCTTCTGCGCCCACGTGGCCGACCTCCCCAAACCCTCATCCACGCAGACGGTCCTGGCTCAGGGAGGCGCTGCCTCGGGGTTCTGGGTCTGACCCCGCCCCCTGCCGCGGGGTTGAGTCTGGGCAGAGCCCCCTGCCCCACGCGGAGCCCTGCCCCCCTTTCTGCGGCGTCGCCCCGCGTCCTTTGCAGGGTTCATTTGCATATGCCCATCTCGGGGAGAAGGGGCTGTGGCCACAACAGGAAGAAACTTCAGGCGTGCCCGGTTTCGGTGCCACCTCCTCCACCCAGAGGTGCCGCGGCCTGAGCTCCTGCTCTGAAAGCTGGTTATGCGTTAGGTTACAAGCTGTGTCTAGGAAAAGTTCTTTTGCTTAAAAAATCATGAGTGGGCCGGGCGCGGTGGCTCAAGCCTGTAATCCCAGCACTTTGGGAGGCCGAGGCGGGTGGATCACAAGGTCAGGAGATCGAGACTATCCTGGCTAACATGGTGAAACCCCGTCTCTACTAAAAATACAAAAAAAAACTAGCCGGGCGTGGTGGCGGGTGCCTGTAGTCCCAGCTACTTGGGAGGCTGAGGCAGGAGAATGGCGTGAACCCGGGGGGCGGAGCTTGCAGTGAGCCGAGATCACGCCACTGCACTCCAGCCTGGGAGACACAGTGAGACTCCGTCTCAAAAAAAAAAAAAAAAAAAAATCATGAGTGCCCCCAGAATGATCTGGATTCGCAGACAGAACCGTCAACGGGATGGCGATTTCTGGGAAGTGGAATCATGGGGGAGTTCTTGT